TCCTCCTGCATCTTTTCCATCAGGAACATCACATTTAGAGAGAAGTGTCCACCCTTTGCAGATTTGCATACAGCACACCCCTGCTGACTGCAGGCTCTCTGCAGTGGTTATCAGTTTCTCATGAGAAGATTTACTCTTGGTCATAAACAGAGTAGGAGCTGACAAGTTAACCCCATGCAGGGTTCTGAGCTGTAGGAATAACCAGAGCATTTTCTGCACTGCTGTGTAGGCTCCAGTAGAGGGCAGACAGAGTTTTCCAGGACGTTCACATTCACCTTCATCTTTCCTGAACTGTGCCTCAGACCTTGACATACTGATATTTCTCCAAAATGATGTTTTTGGACTGTTGGAGAAATACGCTGTTTTTTTCTAATCCAGCAAAGTGTGTATTTTCCAGTTCAATTTCTAGCAGTTTTTAAAAGCTGAGAAAAAAAATCCTGTCCAGTAGCTCTCTGTCCCTTTTCCCTTGGGGAAGCAGGGAATGAACTCAGCTGAAAGGTAATGCTCGATTGTCTAGCTGAGTAGAGCTGGTGGGGGCTCAAAAGCTGACAGGGCAGGTCCCCTCCAGGCTTGTGCCCCAGCTGCCTTCCTCCCCTAGGTTTGAAAACCTCCAGCAGGAACTGGAGCAGACCACAGCCCAGGAAGAGAGCCTCCTGCAGAAGGAGCTGCTGGTGCAGAAACACTATGTTCCAGGCAAGTAAGACACCATTGAGTCCCATCCCCAGCAGCCAGGGTGTTCATGGGTTGTGTTTCCTTCCTTAACTTTTGTTTACTAGGGATGAATAAGCCCTGATTGTTCTTGACAGTGGCAAGCAAAACTGTTTCTGAATCCTATTTTCTTTACCAATTTTCCATGACAGCATCTCTTCAGAAAACTGAGAAAGCTGGAAGAAGCCAGAGACAACTTGAAGGCATGACATTCTACACTCCAGGTTCACAGCCTCCTCAGAAAATGCCACCTCTTTTCAGCTGTGAACTCACTAGTGAGGCACATATCAACCTACCATCAGGCAGTCCAGCCACAGTCTGATCCACATCCATTGGTTCAGTATTCCCAGAGAAAAGATTGTATCAGAAATCGTCTGAGATTCAGAGGACACAACACAAATTACTTAGACCCCTGACATCCATCAGCTCATGGCCACAGTGAGGGGCAAAACAACATGGAAGAAGACATGTGGGTGAGCAAGATTTCTTCTGTCAGCTTCCTATCAAGGGCTTTGAAAAACTGATTTCGTATGTGATGGAAATCTGAAAAGGAAGACTGTGATAACATCACACTGCCATCCAGACAGACCACACCCAAAGCATAAGATTCTCAAGTGCAGTGCTGAAGCTGATGCCATGTCATATGCTAGTGTTGCTGAAGATAATTCACTGCAGAGAGTAAGCTAGGTCCTCACCTCATTTGCTCTTCCATAATGAAATTCCAATGGATCCTGAAATTTGCTTAATTTTTTTTTGTTTATATGTTGGGATATTTATGCTTTAGATTTTGGTTTTCTTCATTTTAGTTTAAAGTTTTGTTAGTTTTTGTTATTGGGTTTTAACAGTTTGCTAAGGCTATACATTGTATATAATGACTGATGTTTTGAAAGACCCCATTGAGTAAAATGAATGTATTTTTATGAATAAAATCCAATTTAGCTTCACTCTGAGACTCTTCTTTAGTCAGGTGAGGTTTCAAACTGCTGTAAACCCTGAAGTCACAGGCCTGGATGTATCTCAGCCAGTTCCAGGAATCTTGGGCTGCACAAGGATTTCTCAGCCAAAGGTCTCAGGGCTATACAGGGGGATGGCACCTTGTATGCAGATGGAATAGCCTACTCCATGGATACCCACTACATAATAGAAAAACTAGACATATTGTATCCTTGACATCATATACTTAGCTGCCAGTAAAGTGTGGTACACTGTACACACATGTTCACGAAATCATCATGTAGACCAAATTAAAGGGAAAAACAAGTATTTGCTCCAGGCCTCTCTGGAAA